CGGCCAGGATAGGAGAAATGTGATGGTGTTTTCTCGCTCTGCTAAGGAGTCTGGCCGCCGCATTCTGCACCACTTGGTGTTTCCGCATTAGCCTTAAAGGTAGCCCCACGTAGAGCGCGTTACAGTGGTCTAATCTCGAGATTACGAGCACATGGACCAGTGTAGTGAGCACCCCCACATCAAGATAGGGTCGCAGCCAGGCTATCCGCCAAAGATGAAAAAAGGCGGTGTGGACAACCGATGCCACCTGTGTCTCCATGGTGAGCGCCGGGTCCAGATGGATACCCAGGCTGCGAACCCCACTCTTTGCAGCAAGAGTCACCCCCCCAAACGAGAGGGAGTCACCCAAGCCGCCAACAGTGGGGGCACCCACCCTTAGGACCTCCGTCTTGTCCAGGTTCAGCCTCAACCCAGTCTCCTGCATCCATCGCAGTACAGCCTCCAGACAGTGCTGAAGGGACAGAACGGCATACACTGAGATAGGTGAAAAGGAGATGTAGAGCTGAGTGTCATCAGCATACTGATGGCACAAAGCCCGACACCCCCGATGACCCCACCCAGTGGCCTCATAGATAGCATTATGGAGATAATCGAGCCCTGCGGAACCCCACAATTGAGACTCCACGGGGCCGAAACACTCTCCCCAAGCTGTACTCTCTGAGGGCGGTCCTCCAAGAAGGATCGGAGCCAGGCAAATGCCAGGCCACCGATTCCCAACTCAGAGAGCCTCCCCAGGAGGATACCGTGGTCGACGGTATGAGATATGGAGGAGGACCAACAAGGACATTTTGCCCCATCAGCCTCCCTCAGCAGATCATCCAGCAGTGCGACCAATGCTGTTTCTGTGCCATGGTGCGGCCTGAAGCCTGACTGGAAGGGATCCAGGGGATTGGTTTCATCCAAAAGAGCCTGAAGCTGGTCAGCCGCCACCCTCTCCACCACTTTACTAAGGAAGGAAACATTGGCGACAGGCCTATAATTGCCAATGTCCTCTGCCGCCAAATTTGGTTTCTTCCTAGTGGGCCTAATGAGTGTCTCCTTGAGTGTTTTGAAGTTACATAGCTCCCCCGAATTTACATTTTTGTAAAGCAGAGTAGTATACAAGATGATGTGGTGGGATAGTGTGGTTGTAGAAGGGTCTGTTTGTAGTAATACAGGGTGGACTGTTTGTCCCAGGTACTGGTGGGGAGAATGAGAACTCTCATTGCAAGTGCTCTCCCTTGCTCTCTCTCTCTCTCTCTCTCTCTCTCTGTGTGTGTGTGTGTGTGTGTGTGTGTGTGTGTGTGTGTGTGTGTGTGTGTGTGTGAGTGAGTGAGAGAGAGAGAGAGAGAGAGAGAGAGAGAGAGAGAGAGAGAGAGAAAAGGAGGCATGTTTAGAGGTTGGCACCTGAAGTGTGGATCTGTAGAAGAAGGTGCCTTGCTTTGGTGAGGATGAAGGGAGTGGAAGAATGTGAGTTGGGAGCAAAAAGACGGGGCCGATGGACTGCTTTCAGTGCCACGGAGGTGGGGACGTGGTTGAGCAGGGCTATATCTGGTAAGGTGCACTCTAGTCGCTCCATGAGCTATGAGAGGTAGAATGCTCTGCATTTAACGGGGGTAAAAAGGCTCCCGAGCGTGGGATACTGAAGGAAAATGGAGTGGAGTCGAGCGGGATGAATACAGAACTCCGGGTAGGAGTGCCGCTTCGTGCCGCTGGCTGGCTGGGTGGCGCTCACTGTGACTTTGCCTCTAACGCCGCCCGCCGTTCTTGCCCTACGAAAGCTGGTGCCACCACCATAATATGTCGCCGGGCTTTCGGGAAGGCTTCTCTTACAACGCCCCCCCCCCCACCGGGCACCCCGGGGCTGAAAAAGAAGACGGACGTGTCGAATGTGGCCGTCGACGGAGGGCAGTT